GTAGGACCCCCTCCCACCCAATTATGGGCAAAATATTGTGTCTATATTTGAATATGAATTTTTCTAGGGAGGGGGAGGTCCATGGAGTTCATTAGATTCCCAAAGGCGAATCAAGGCGGAATCGAGATTAAAAACCAATATCCTTGTAGTATAGACTGGTAAACTAAGGCTCAGAAGAATCGAGTGATTTACCCCAGGTCACTCAGCTTGTAATTGGCAAGCCAAGGTGCTTCTACAGTACATCCTGATAAGGGCATCTCACTGGATCCCATGGCTCTCAACCTATGTCAGGGTCCCAGAACTGCCCAAGACTGAGAGGTAGGGGGTATCTGAAAACAGAGGCCTAAGGCCAAGAATCTGACTGAGGCTGGGGCTATCCCACACAGCAGCTGGCAAGGAGAAGGGGCACCAGCTTTCATCTTTTGGAGTTTGAGGGGCTGAGCCAAGCACATGAGGGAGGAGTGGGTGGCAGGGTGACAACAGAGAGAGGAGGTTTCAGGGAGAAAGGATGTGAGTGGGGTTGGGAGTGCAGAAGGGGCTTCTGGCCCTGAAGCATGACCTGAGGATACAGAATGGGGACCCAGGGCTATGGAAGGTCAGCTTGGGGCAGAGACCTTGGTGCCCGGGAGGTGTCAGGTGCCTTGGTGCCAGGGAGCCAAGAAAGACACCCAGCCCTTGCCTTGCTATCTCCCCAGTATATTCTCCATCCCCACGTGGTGCCATTACAGTCCTATTTTATGGATGAGAAAACTGAGTCCCAGAGATGTCGTCACTGGCCAAAGCCAAAGAGCTAGATGGTGGCAGAGGCAAGACCAGAGTTTAAGTCTAGGAGTCTTCCCTGGATGCTGGACGCCCCTTTTAGTATCAGGTCTTCAAAGTGGGGGTCAGCAGAAGTGTGACATGCATGCTGAGGCCTTGGGTAAGCCTCTGAGATTCAGTGGTCCCTCGGTCTGGGGACAAGAGGTGATTGATCTGCAAGCATTGACTCAGTCTCCATTGGGACGAGGTGGGCATAGGAATGGCCAGAGCTGCCTTCTAGAACTTCGTTGTTCTGTCCTTCCTGGGGAGGTGTTCATGTTATGCTTCTACCTGCTGTTGCCCTTCAAAGCTGTCTTCCGTCTGGTCTCCGCCTGTCCCTCCTGGATCCAGCAAATGCTCAGCCTGAGCCTCTCACCACACGGATGGATGGTGATAAGGAGAGAGGTGTGTTTGCTCTGTCTTGTTAGCTGCACAAACAGCTTCTTCATCATTTTTATTAATAATTCAGCCCTTGGCGAGGGGGGCAGGGTAGGGGGTACAGGAGCTGTGGAGAGACAGCAGCATTGGAGACCATGCCAGGTAGAGGCTGAGGGGAACCCAGGAGCCCTGCCTCCAGCTGTGGCCTAGCAACAGAGCCCGGCAGCCTCAGGGGCCCTGTTTAGGAGAGTGCGGGCCTGGTCTCTGCTCCAGAGGGACAGAACGTCCGTCTCTCCTTGCTCTGTTCCTCCAGAAGCCGACCCAGGACACCTGGGCCCTGATGACCACACCAGATCGGAAATAGGCCTGAGGGGCCCACAGTATTCAGTGGGGCATTCCTTGGGGAGCCAGGTGCTACCAGCATTTCCTGCCACATCATGGAACCCAGGACAAAGAAGCTGGCAGTGTCACAGAATGAAAAGCTTTCTCTGGGCCCCCCTCTACGGGGTGGGGGGGGGGTTTGGGGGGGAGAGGATGGGAAGGGGAGGGGCAGAGCGCCAAAGGCCCAGGCCCTCACCTTAGAGGGCCATGACCTGCAGTCAGAACTAGGGTTATTCCCACCCTCTGATCTCTTTTCTCAGAGGACCTGCTCACTTCCTGCACACTTCATTTCCTGCCTGTGCCCAGTCCTCCGTGAGTGCTCAGAAGACAGGGACTCACAGTGGGCTTGGCTCTTGTCGATGCTCCCCCAGGAGAGAGTAGCCTTCAAATGCAGCTGAATGGTTCGAGGTCAGACGTCTAGAAGAACTTCCTTGAGAGGCAAAACATGGTCACGAGGAGTAGGTTTGAGATCCATCAGGAATAAGTTCTATGTTCCAAGTATCATTTTAAGTGCCTTACTGGTATCATCTCGCTTACTCTTTATAATAGTCAAACAGGTGGTATTTTTATCTCCATGGTATGGATGAGCCCCGAGGCCCAGGGGTGTCAAGTAATCTGCCTGGGGTCACACAGCTATGAATGGCAGGGCCACGTAAATCTGTATTCTTTTCTCTTCCCAATGATTCTGCATCCCCTAGACGAAGTGAATGAGACGCAGGGAAAGGGTGTCTTCAAAGCTTTTCCTGTGTCGATGCAGGCAGGAAGTAAAACCCACTGAGGTTCCCAGTGCCCCAGAGCCTCGGTCTCCACAGCAACATCTCATGGGATTTATCTAGTATGTCTGAGGGACTGTCCATCTCTGACGTTCTGGAACAATGACTGTCTACTGCCTCCTGGGAGTGAGTGAGTTTGGGATTTTTATGTTTGAAAGGGAGAGGCTGTAAGCTCTCAGATGGGGGAGAGCACTGAGTCTGCTCATGAATCTCATAGTGGTTGGCAAAAGGCTGGAGCCAGGACCAAGGGTCTCCTCCCGATTCTCTTGCCAGCTCCCTGTGCTGCTAGCTCTGGGAGATCCCTGGCCAGTTCTTTCCCCCTATAGAGGCCTTGTCTTCGCCATCTGTCACCCCAGTGGTGGTCTCTCAGAGGTCCTCTCCCCACCAACTCTAAAAACTCCATGATTCTAAATGCTTATAAAGATCTGTTGAGTTGCCATGATGAATTCTGCTGTCCCAATCTGGACTCTCAGGTTGATAGATGGGGAGATTCCTGAGCAGGGAACCTTTCTGTGTGGAGCCCATTGATGACATGAGGTAGGGGTGGGAAGGGGCGGACTATTTGGTCTTTACTAGCTGGGCACTGAGAGAGGGAACTGGGGATGGGAGCAGGAAGAAGTCAAGACTGGAGACTCTGGAGTCCCAGCCTTTTGGCTTGGCTTCCTGGCGTTTGCCAAAAAGCGGTATATGGATATATCCTAGATTCTTGGATGCATATGGGTGGGGATGTCTGCAGGGTATACAAAACATAATAGCCTTTCACCAAGGGATGAGGGCTGAGATTTCTGGCCAGGGACTAATTATGGGCTGAAATCTATGACTGCCTTTTTTTTTTTTTTTCTTCCTTCCATTTTTAATTAGAACGTTCAATCCAAGGAAATCTGTTCTCCACCGGAACACTCTTTATGGAGGTTTGCTTGGGGGAATTTCCTTATCTGTTTCTCAACCAAAAAGCTGTGGGTGGAGGTGAGTGTGTGCCTGCGCACGAGCGTGTGTGTGTGTGTGTCTGTGTGTGTGTGTGCATGTAATAGGCTCCATGCAAGTTCAAGAGTATGGGGTGTGTGTGTGAGTATTGGGGGAGACTTGAGACAGAGGCTGTGGGTGCTGGCTGCCTCCTGTGTTGGGGGAAGATGGAGGTGTGGTTGGGTGTGAGCTGTGCCGTATAGTCAGTTAAATGGATTTCTCCGGGTGGGATTAGGAATCCTTGATTTTACAAAGCCTGGCTCACCTTCCAACTTCATTCTCAGTGGAGTGGAGGGCAGGATGCTGCAGCGGGGCTAGGAGTTTTGCCCTCCTGCCTACCCCTTTCAGTTTAGGGTAGGGGCAGACCCCTTGCGGAGCAGAAGTACTGCCGCAGTGTTCGTATCTCTTGTGTTTGTGTGCCGGTGTATGTGTGTGTAGAGGGAGGTGGTGGTGTAATGGACTAGGTATGTAGGTGTGTGCTGGGAGGTCTCCGTACCTGAAACCACCAAAAGTTCATTCAGTTCCAGGCTTTGAAAATTTGGGGGAGAATTTCTCCTCCCTGCCCCAGAATCAAACATTTCCAATTCTAGGGTTCACCTGATTTGGGCTGTGCGGACCTGGCAGAGGCGCTGAGAGAGCCAAGGGAGCCCCAGGGCTGGAAGAAGGAGGGATTTCTTTCTTACCCACTGAAGTGCTGGGGTCAAGGAAAGGAAAGGGGGGTGAAGTGGAGGAGCGATGCAGGAGAGGGAGGAACAGAGGCCGAAAGGTCTGCGGCTGGGTTAAGTGAAAAGGGTCGCTAGGCCTCGTCCCCCACTGAGGGTGGAGATCCTGGTCCTTTCTGCTGCAGCTGTGTTCAAATTCGGGGAGACGGCCAGAGTGACGGACCCAGGCTCAGCGCTGAGAAAAAAAATCCACTCCTGGTTTTTGCACACACCAGCCCGACTTCCCGGGACCGCCGCGGTGTCGAGTCCCGAGCTGACGCCCTCCAGCCGCCATTAGGCGGAAAACCCGGAGTGGCTTTCCACGCCTCTTGGAACGGAGTCAAAGGGCACCTCGGAGAAGGTGGCCAGCCACCCAGCCCCGCCCGGTTCGAAGCCGCTGCCATCAGAGGCGCCCCGGCCGGGCTGGTCGCGCCGTGCGGCAGGACCCGCAAGCTCGCAGGGCCCACCCGAGGGCTCCGTGCCCTCCCCGCGGGGGCTGCGGGCGGGGCGCGCGGGGCGGCGTTGGTGCCCTCGGGGCGGCTCCGGGCGGCGGCGGGCGCGGGGCTGTAGTGCGGCTCGCGGCCGGCAGCGGGCAGCAGCGGGCGCAGGCAGCCGCGGTGGCGGTGGCAGCGGGCGGGCGGCGCCGGCGGTGCCCCGGGCGCGCTCACACACGCGCTCACACACACACACACACACACACACACATACACACGGCCTCGTACACACTCACACACGCTCCGGCGCGCACACGCGGCGCGCAGGCCAGAGGGAGGAGGCTCGGCGCGGCTCGGCGGCAGCGGCAGCGGCAGCGTGCTCGGCGGGCGGGCGGGAGGGCTGGCGGGCGGCCCCCGCTCCCCGGCTCCGCGGCTCGGTGCAGCCCGCGCGGCCCCCGCCCTCGGACCCGCCCCCGGGGGTCGCCCGGCCCCATGCCCTGCAGCGGCGGCGGAGCAGCGCGCGGCCGCGGGCGGCTCTGAGGAGCCCGGAGGGAGCCGGCGACTAGGGGACCATGTACCGGGACCCGGAGGCGGCCAGCCCAGGTAAGCGCGGCCCCGCGCGGGCTGGGGCGCCCCGCACCGGCAGGCAGGACGGCGGCAGCGCCCGGCGCCGTCTCGGAGCCCCAGCCCGGGGCTGCTGTCCACCGGAGCCGCACAGACTCCCCCCCCCACCCCGCCCCGGGGTCATCCCAGCCCCGGGGGCGCGGGCTTGAGGGGCAGCGGCTCGGACCCCGGTCCCCGCAGTCCGGGCGCTGCCAGGCTTGATGCCCGGCGCCGGCTTCGCAGTGTCCCCACAAGGACCTCCTCCCCCCCTCCCCCAGCAGCCCAAGGACAACGTGTGTGGCAGAGCGAGGAGCCACTGTCCCCGCGGGAACCGGGCAGTGCCCTCAGAGGCACCCCCGGGTCCCCAGCACCTGTGCCCACGGGTGCCAGCGCTGGGGGACCCCAGGGCAAGGATCTCAGGCAGCTTTGGGCCAAGGTTGTGGGCACCGGGGAGCAGAGTGACATCGGCGGTGCCAACTGTGAATTGAGAGGGTGCCAAGGGGCAAGTGGGAATCTGGTGCAGCAGCAGGGGAGGGGGCCTCCGGAGAGGGAGGGTGGGGAGCAGCAGGAGCGTCGACGCGGGGTTGGCGGGGGGAGACAGGAGTACCTGAAGGGAAAGAGAGCAGAGATTCGTGAGAATGGGGGTGCCAGGGGAATGTGCTCCTGGGTTTGGGTAGGGGGAAAGCAAAGATCCCCAAACTCACTCTAGTCCTGTCGGGGGAGGGAGGGGGAGGGGCCGGCTCCTTTGCATCTCTCCCGAGGGAGCCGGGGAGTGGCCTGGGAGCCCACTGCTTGCTATCCTCCAAGCCCTGGCGATGAATCTTTCCTCCTTCCTCTGGAAATCGCTCTGCCATTTCCTCCTTGGCTCCTGACGCCTCCTCACACAGTGCCCACCTGTAGGCAGGTCCCCTGCAGCTCCTGCTCAGGCTGTCTCAGCTCCCACCTGGGGTACTCCACCCCAGACCCAGCACCCCCCAGTCTGCCAGCTCTGGCAGCGGGGTCTCTGCTTCTGGCAAAGTACCCCAGGCTGAGAACTTGCTCCCAAATGAAGAGCCTCCAGGCTTACTGCTGCTGACCTCTCAGGGTTGGGGGTGCTCCGGGAAGGGACAGCTCTCAGGCCCTCTGCAGAAGGGACCTTGAGCCCCCAAGGATTTTGAGGGCAGTCCGGTGGACACCAGCTTTGTCCACTCTTGTCCCAGCCCCACATTTGTTCTCCCTCTAGGGGCAGCCTCAGCCTGTCCTTGCCTCCTGAGGAGTCGGACCCTCACCCCCATCAAATCATCACAGCCTTCTGAGTCCACTGAGGAGGACCTACTGGGTGCCAGGCACTGCACTCACTCAGCGCTTGGGGATAAGGGTGAGAGAGACTCGGTCTCCCTCTCCGGAACCTCTTGCCCATCCATGAATGTCCTCTAGGTGATGACTGAAGGGACATTGCTTTTGGAGACCCCTCCCTTCCTCTGTCTGAACCCAGGTCTCCAACCCTGGCGCCTTCCCTCACGAGGCTGCCAGCTTCCAGCACTCGGACCCAGGGCAGAGGCAGTCTCTGGCCGGGATCACCCTCTCGGAAACCAAGCGCTTCGTTCAGAGGCCAGCTCTCGGGTACGAGGTTGGAAGGGGAGATGCAGTGAGGACACTCCCTTTCTCGCTGCCCTGCCAGGCTGGCAGCCTCCCCTTTCCTGTTAGCCCAATGGCCTGGGTCCGTGCCCTCATCCCCTCTCCCTCCCCCCCCTTTCCTCCCACGCCTGGGCACCATGACATCACTGCTCCTCGGAGCACCTCTGCCCTCTCCATGGAGGCCAACTTGACATGCTTGGCATCTTCTGGGCAAAGGGCCTGCAACCCAGTGCTGCCCCTGGCATCCTGGCAGCCCCCGGGGCGTCTCCCTCTTCCGTCCTCCTCCCCAACAGGCCTCCCCATGGGGTGGAAACCTGTCTTGCCCAGTTGCGGTTGCAGGGCCCACCAGTGCCAGGGGCAGGGGCAGGGCAGCACTGACCAACCCAACCCGGAACAGACTGGGCCTGGGGTTCACTTCCCTCTGGTGTGGCCACTGGACTGGATGGGGTCAGAAATAGGCTGGAGAGGGCAGAGTCTGCTTTTGATCCTGGGTCCCCCGGGGCTCTCTGAGGGTCCAGAATCATCAGTCTGGCCTCTGTACCCCAGGCCGCCTGCATCCCCGCCCACCTCCTAGAATCCCTACAGCTCCAGGCCAGACTAGGCATTCCTTCCAACCCCAGCTCCCCTCAGGCCCCCTAGACTCTGCTCCCCCAGGCAGGGCCATGTGCCCCCCATTTCTGTCCCCCACCTCCCCTTTGGCTGGCACCTGATAGGAGTGAGATATGCAAATTAATGCCTGGGTGATTCAGGCCCCTCCTTCTGGTCCCGGGCGGTGCCTTGTCTGTCCTGATCTCCTCAGCCCACTCCCAGGGAGCACCTGTGGCCCAATCGTTTTTTTTACAGTTTTCCCTCTCCTGTGTTCTCCTGCTCTCCCATGTTCCAGGCTGGCTCCAGAGTGTCCCTGACGTACTCCTTCCCTCAGCCCACTCACCCTGGCCTCCACAGGGTTCAGCCTGCTGGCTAAGACCCTGTCCACAGTTCCCTACCCACTTGGGCCCACGGCCCCTTCTGGGATCTAGCTCAGCTTAAGCAAGGGACTATGGGAAAAAGCCAGAGCCCAGTGAAGAACGAAGACCAGTCCCCCTCCCATACACCCGCATTGGCTTCTACTCCAAACTCTGTCCAGCCTCCCCCAAGCTGCCATGCCTGCAACTTCCTCTCTGTCCCCTCCCTGAGGCAGGCGGCCCTCTCCCTGCCCTCAACCCTCCTCCCGTGTTCATCCTGAAGCTGCCCTGGCCAGGCCTCCCTGTGTCCCTTCGACCCAGGCCCCAGGCCGGTCAGGGCCTCAGCAGGCCTGCAGGGGTCAGCGTTGCAGTGGGCAGGCAAGACAGTTTCAGGGAGGGAGGAAGGGAAGGAGAGGTGACCTTGCAGTGAGTGAGCGAACAAGGCCAGAGAGGGAAAGTCTGGGCCAGTGCAGCAGACCTGGGAGAGAGGTCAGGTCCTGAGGCTGCCTGCCTTGCCCCCAGCCCTCTGTGAGCTTGTCCCTGGGGGTAGCAGTGCTTGAAGTCTTGTCTGTCCCACCTGTTAGTGGGCTCTGCCCTCTACAGCAACTCTTCCAGAAAGGCCATTCTCAGGAGCACAGGGGACACACTGCATGGGGCAGGGGGCCTTGGCACAGCGGATCTCCTCTCTCAAGGCAGAGGGATCCATGAGGTTGTCCAGGCCAACCCTCTACCTGCTGGGCACAAGTTAAGAACAGAGGCCATTGGGTGGTGTGTAGGGCAGGAGTTAAGGGGTATGGCTGAAAGGGCCACCAGGATTAGGGACCAGGGCTGGGGTATGGGAAGGTCCAATGAGACCTGACTTTGTCTGACCGGTTGGTTCACTGGCAAACTCCTCCCCCCACCCCCATCTACGCCCCAACCCCCCAACCCCCACCTGCACAGGCCCAGACCTCCCTTGCATCTCGGGCTTGGATCCAGGTCTAGGGCTGAAGAGCCCACGATCTCCCAACAGGCCGTGGCCAAGAGGGGTCGGGGCTGGCGCTGGGCAGGTCTGAAACCCTGGGTGAGAGGGATGGCTTCTGTGGGCTTGGGCCAGGGTAGCCAGTGCCCCCAAGCTGCATGTGACTGTGGAGACACGACCCTCCTAGGCCTTGGGTCACGCCTGCTCTTAGGTGGCTTTGTGGGAACAGCTTGACCAGTGGGCTGGGTACTTGAGAACTGGGGGCCAGTGGGGAGGGAGATAGCCTCAAAGCCCCTCCTGGTGGGAGAAGAGAGGCTAGAGCGAGCCCTGCCCCTGGCTGACCCCAAGCTCAGGCCCAAGGGGCCCTGAAGGCAACATAGCCTAGCAGCGAAGGGCTGCCCCCTCTCACCACCCCCTGCCAGCCCAGCTGTTGCAGGAGGCCTTGCGGGAAAGGCAGGGGAGGAGTGGGTGGCTCCTTCCCTCTGGCACCCCTCCTTTCCTCCCACCCCACTCCCCGCCCACCCTCTATTCTCTGAGGGACTTTGAATCCTTATTGAATCTGATGGACCGTTTTCAATAACTGCTTCCCCCAGGGGAGCCAGGCTGTGAACGGCAGGAATAGGAGCAGTGAGGGGGGGGCCTCTTGGGGGGAGGGCAGCGGGAGGCCGAGTCCTGAGCCAGGGACGCTTGGCTGGAAGGGGCATCACTAGGACAGTCCCCTCAGAGGTCCCATTGCTTCCCGGGGGTGCACGGGCAGCTCTGCGTGGATCCGGCTCCCTGCTCCGTGGGCAGTGCCCGGCAGGTGGCACGTGAGGCTGGTGAGGTCAGCTCCCTCTGTTGTGGCGGTCACTGGTCTGGCCAGGTGCCGGAGCGAGCCGGTGCCAGGCCCAGCCCGGGTGCCCGCCTGCCTTGCAAAGGGAACCCCAGCCGGTGGTGCCAGGAGGGTTGTGCCAGTTCCGTGGATATGGAAGTGCCTGACCTTCCAGGCAGTAGGGTCAGCCTGGCTGGGCCCTGTCCAATTTGTGTCTGGAGGGCAGGGCTTTGGTCTCACCCAGCAGCATTCCCCAAGGGCTGGAACGGAGTTGGCAGAAGACAGCATGGGACCTGTGGAAGGGGCTGGACGGTGCCCAGAGCCTGCGCCTGGAATTCCGGACCCAGCTGGTTTGGGAGGTGGGCCGGCACGTCGGGCCTGCTCTGGGGGGCTCTGGTAGCTTCCACCTGGAGGGCCCTGTTGGAAGAGGTGTGTCTCCTGTGGGCAGGGGGCTGGGTCGGGAGCTGACTTGTATCAGGAGCCGTGGTGTTTGGGGAACAGATGTCTTGTCATTGAACCTGCGGGGCCACGGGCCCTGGGGCAGAGGGAGGGCAGGGCCTGAGGGGGAAAGCTCGTGTGTGCGAGTTCTGGTGCCGGCTGAACTCGGTCATAGCCGCGCCCGCTCGCTTGCTCGCTCGCTCGCTCGCTCGCTCGCTCGCTCCGTCTG